ATTTTGGGGGCTGAATGTCCTACGCTTGCTACTTTCCCTGTGGGGTAGCAACATCAAGATTCGCAATTGCTAGTATGAAATGATTATTTGTGCAGCAACTGCTTTCGGAGGAGGCGCCTGGGCTGCGGGAGGGTTCCTAGAAAAATGATACTCATTCTGTCCTTTCATGTCGCCCGAAAGCACTCAAGGAATTTCAAGGTTGCAGATTACAAGTGTAGATGGTTGTTTAGAGTTTAGAGCAAAGCGCATGCCCGGGCATCCTTGCATTGAAGTCTGTCTAGGACTTGTGTCGGTAATCCTCTTTGGGGACAGCAGCCTTAGAGGGACGCGGCAAAGAAGTAATCTGCCTGGCCCTCCGAAAGGGCGCTTGACGGAGAACCCTGAAGAGCGCAAACCCGTTAAACACGACTTAAAAGGAGGACGTGGGGTTCAGGCAGCCTTGCTTTTGGGTGTATTGCGAATTCAGAATCATGGGTTTCCAAAACGCCCAAGACCCTTGTCCGTGGATCCGCTGGATGACTATGGATCCCTGCTCGACCTGCAACGCCGAAGTTTCAAGATGAAACTTGCCAGATCAAGATTCGAGCATTTGAGAATTAATGCTGCAGAAGGTGCTGTGGAGGCAGGTGACATGGTCGCCGCGAGTTTCCTCCTGGAGGAACCTCCCGTGCTCTTTGGACAGACAGTGCTAAGGGCCCTGGGTTACAGGCCTAAGGCTTTACATCTATGTATGCTTCTATGCGGATGATGCTCTTGCAGTGTTTGCGTGTGCGCAAGGTATCCCGCGAGAGCTGCTGTGCAAAGGCCGGTGTCTGTGCTCCAGGAGAGAACATGATTTCCTGGACTCCAGCCGTTTAGGTTTCCGTATAGCAGATGACATTTAAAGCCGGCAATCTTAGCGTTGTAAGTCTATCAATCCTTACAGGGGTCCTACCCATCACAAATCTAGCATGTGCTTTGATCGGGCGAACAACTCGCATCTCCTGTTGTTTGCCGTGCAGCCGCCGCGTTCTGCAACACTTCAGAGGGGAAGTCTAGCTCGCACAATGCGAGCCCGCTTTGAGGCTCGAGGAAGATGCAGTGCACAACCTACATCTATATGGCCACACCATGCCACACCTATTGGGGCCTGGCATCGCTTTCTCAGCTCACCCTGCATTGCTCGCCTCCTCGTGGGGCGCAGGAGCTGCAAGTTTGAAAGGTAGACTTTTTGAGGCTCGGACTTTCCTGGCTGCCGGCAGAAAAGAAACAACTAGCCACTGTGTACTGCTGACACAACACGGCTAGTCGTTAAGAAGAAGCCTTAGGCACGGGAAAGGTAGACATGCCAACCTTAAGATAGAAGCTCCCTGAGGCTTCTCTGAAGCCTGACCCAACCTCGCAGTGTCCGACTACAAATGCCTTGCATGTGAGGAAGTTGTGCACCTGTCCTCTCGGTGATGCTCGCTGGATCCACGGTGTGATACAGGATTCGGCAACAACATGAAAAGTGCTGTTTCACTGGTGGGCGCGCAGTGACCGGAGAAATCCCGGGCTTTGAGGCCCTGAAGATAGATGGCACAGAAAGTAATGGCAACAACCAGCTAGGCTGTGTGGCACCACAGATCGGAGTCGTCATGGGATAGGTAATGCTACTCCTACTATAAGGCCTAAGGCTAGCATTCCGACTCACACCCTTACTGCCTATCTTGAGCATGTTGGTTTGGAGAAGGGCAGCGGAGTGATTTGTTGAGCTTGCCTGGACAGGGGAACTCAAAGAGTGAAAGTTGCTCGTGCAAGGTATGAAATGCCTATACATGTTTGGGGTACCCAAAGCACACCACGCATGGAAGGAAGGCGTATCCTCTGCGCAATCTAGCAGAAACAGAAGCATCCTTGGCCCGAAGTGTTCAGCTCGCCACTATGAACTTGCTAGAATGCGCCCAGACAGATTCTCCCATCTTTCAATCCACAAAGAATTTTGATGCAGCTCCTGCTTGTGGCATCTGGCAGGGAACAAGACGAGTGCATGCAAGCCCAAGCCTGGTGTTTGAAAGGTCTCCGGAACCCAGATGCCCAGGCGACACAGGTCAGAGGGCAAAGGCGGAGTCATGGTCAACAGCCATGACAAGCTGCAAAGAATTTGTAGCACTCGGCCTTGAGCCTGAGCGCTTTGTGAGGGGCAGCCGTGGCTGACTACTGTCCTGTGCCTTTCTAGCTACGTAGTTACGATGCTTTCTACTCAGAGAGTTACTATACGTTGGGATAGCCATCGATGAGCTGCTGTGCAGCTCTAAGCTGGGCGAAGACCAACGTCCTACTGCCCACTCCTTTGCCGCATGCTACGCATCTAAGTCTAAGGTATGCTATCACAGTCAGATGAACTAAAACAACATTGGCCTTTCGTCTGCTGCTCTCTCTGCTAAGACTTAGGGCTAAACTGCTGCACGAGGCCAGTTTGGAGCCAGGCGTCATGCGCATGGATTCCACAGCAAGCAGCAGGCACATGAACCGCACTCTGCGCACCGGCACTTTCCAAACGCGTGTCTTGGGAGGGATCAGGCAGGCCATCCATGTGCCGACCTCAGCGAAGAGTCCCCAAAGGTTTGCGCCAAGGATGAGTCCTGGAGCAACATCACGTGGACGGAACAAGGACCCCTGGGAACGTCCCTTTTCCCATGGCCTGTTATGCGATAGTTATACGTCCCCGTCTAGGCCTAGGCTTTAGGGGAAGATGCGCACTTGGCAGTGGCAGATCGGAGCGCCACCGCATGTGCAGACTGCAGGTCAATTCATGCAACTCTGCTGTGTGGGTGAGTGGCAGTGGCATGACAGAGGTTAGCATGTTGAGCTTTTCGAAGATTAAAGGCCCCTCATGATATACCTCCTGCGCAGATGTGCCTGGGAAATTTGCACCCCATCCGAACGCACGCAAGGTGCTCATTCACGCGGCAAGGCTTAAGCCGCCCGAGCTCATAAATCACATGCATCTCGTGCCATCTGCAGAAAATCGGCCTGGAAAGGTTTTGGGGATTCGGACCAAAGCCCAACAGCAAGCTGTCTGCACGGTAGTCCGCTAGGCTAGTGTTGCAGTGTGGCAATTCGAGCAGTGGTTAACTCCTTTCACCTGCGCGGTCCTGAAGCACACACAGAAGTTGAAAAAGGTTTGCTGCAGCTCACTTCACGACTGCATTGACTGGACGAGCGGTAGGTAGCTTTGTTGCAGGGAGGTGCGTATCACCACCAGCGAGCATAAAGGCCCCGTGAACAGGTTGAGCTGCACACGATCACAATGCAGTGTGCCCCCACTTGCATGCTCTGAGATGGCAGATGCCCCTGAACTCCTATTGCCCAAAACATGTGGGCTCTTGTACAACTGCGCACTGTTTTAAATTGGCCTTCAAGCAGCGCCATGCTCATCTCGACGGCGGCTTTGTTAAGCGTGTCTGCGCAGTTCAGCTCCCCAAAAAACAAAGGAAACAACCATGCTTGAGTCCACATGCGACCTGTCTGCTATTTGCGGGATGCTCAATGAATCTGCCTGTCACACTTCCTCCTCTGAATCCTGACATTTATAGGGCAAGGACAGACCGTGTGTTTAAAACAGGCGCCAGAGCACAAGACAAGGGGCATCCTGAAGTCTGGGGAGACAGAAGGCTGCAATTGCAAAAACAAGAGGTGACCTGCAGCAGGGACAAACCTAGGCGCTAGCTTCAATTTGACTACTGGTGCAGATGGAAGCTGCTGTGGAGCCGTCCTAACATCTTGCTTGCTTTCGATGGCTTCAGTGCTTAGTAAAAGCACCGTCACGACAGCCTCAACTTCTGCTGCAGGATGCTTCGAACCATGTTGAGATTCAGGCGTCTTTCTGAACCCCTGCAACCCTCAATTCTCTCGCCTCCGATCTTTACAAGGCTCTCAAAGAGGCTCATGCACCTCTGTGTGACAGCTCCGGCGGCGAAGGAATTCGCCATGTCCATGTTCGCCACAACAAACGGCGGCGAACCGCTCCAGGTTATGCCAACGCCATGGCTGCGTGTGAACTCCGTGCACTTAGATGATGTACTGCAGAGCTAGATAAGTCTCCTAGAAGCAAAGGATCTGCTTTGCAGCCTCTTCGACGGATTCCAAAAGATGTACAATAATTATACAGTCTGTTACTCGTCTCTTCTTGCTAAACAAAACGGCTGCTGAAAGATCCGCGGGCAAGTGCACAGGCAGGCTTGCAAGGTAGCCTGTGGTTTACGTTGAGTCGCTTGGTACGAAACAGCACCCGCTCATGCTTAACTCACAAGAGTGCTGCGGTGAAAGTGCAAGCCACTGCCACCCCCAAAAGATCGGAAAGGACCCAGAGCTGCAACAACCGACGTCAGCGCAGCGTGACATCACCCCCAGCAACAAGCCCTCCATGTGGTTTGGTCAAATTGATCATGCTCCTATGCTGCATGTGTAGGTTCGTGCCGTTGAAGTCCGACAGTTAGCTAGGTTGCTTTGCTCGCATCAAACATTTTTGAGCAAAGTATGAACTTCTCCCCCGTTCAACGCTGCATCTCTTGTGGCATAGTTGCAGCTGGTGGCTAGAGCAGACACTGCGGAACCTCGCAGATGAACAAACCATCCGAGCTGCTTGCCGTAGGCCTTAAACTCTTGTGTAACTTACAATCAGCTCATTCAGCTCATGTCCCAAGTCAAGTAAGATCCCTGGCTCTCAAGATTGTGCTGATCTATATAGCAGGGCAGTTGGAATTGATGTCCAAGAGACATTACTTATCATTGTGCTCAAGACTCGCCCAGATCCACCACCTACACCCTGAACCCTAAGCCCTTTTTTGCATCTGGACTGCAGCGACCCTAAGCCCTTTAGCCGTTTCCATCTTATTTCCATTATCCCAACATAACTCCAATGCATCCCCTTCATAATCCCCATGTTCCCTTTTGCTTCCATTTTCGTTTCCACTATCCCAATATAACCTATAGATTCCTTTATTTTGCCTGAACTGCGTGCCCCTGGAGACACTGGCCTGCTTTCCGGGGCTTTGGTGGTGGTGCAGCCTGCCGCAGGGTTTCAGGCACCAGAGCCTTGCTTTTAACTACTCCTCTGAGCAGAGTTGAGTGCACCTTTAAAGGGGTTAATAGGGGATATGTAGGGGCTTACAAGGACTGGACAGGGATATATGGGGTTCACATTAGGAAAGTTCTTCATGGATTCTGTTTTCAGTGCAGGTACATGACTTTTTTTTCCGCAGCGGGGCCTCGAGACGCTTTCCTTGATTCTATGCGCTGGGTGTGTCCCAATAATAATACTGTCCCTCGTCATAAACATTCTCAATTTGATACGTTTCCATGTGTACTTACATATACATACTAATGTCTCTACAAAAAAGCTACATTCAGAAATACATGTGCGTGTGTAAATAGATGTAAAGTATCTGCAAGACATACAAATAGCGAGGGGTTGGTCAGCGGGGATAATTTGGTGAGGAGGAGATGTGCTGTGAGACGCAGTTACTGTATACTTCTCAAATTCACATCTCCAGGTCCTAGGGACAAGTACAGATTTCTGGTATCGCGGTTAATATTGCGTCATTCCTGTCTTTTTGCGCATCGCCGGAGCTGTGGCTTCTGCAGCCAGCCAAGCGGTTGCAGAGCTCTCTGCCGGTGCTCGGGCAGACCAGAAAGCTTCTAGACGGGACTCAAAGACTACAGTCGATGGTACGCGTTGAGCATAGAGAGTCAGCATGCGCCCAGCAACCTCTACCTCCTTAGCGGCCAGGATCACGGCTTCGTTGTTGGTTTGGGAGAGTGGGGCATCTGCCAAAAGCCCCACACACCAGGCAGCCCTCAGCACATCATTTGCGTGCGCTGGCGTGAATGGCTCCTTGAACAGAAGTGTCGTGTGAGGCAGGCAGTCCGGATCCTGGGGAGGGCTGTCCGGCTCCATGTAGAGGGACAGCACAAGCAGGGCATCCTCAGCGTAGACCAAGTGCCCACCTCGTACCCTCCAGCTGGAGCCTTGTCCCTGCAGCACGTCTCCAAAACGTTGTAAGCTTTCCATCACAGCGCGAGAGCCGCCCAGGAAGAAAGTTGTCATGTGCAACATTTGCGGCCACAGGAAGCCTGATGATCCCCAACGCAGATCTTCAAGCTTCCTTGAAGTCAGGACCTCATCCCAAGACTCATCCAAATCTCGTGAGCGAGCGCTTAAGGAAGGCAGGGTCAGCGGAACATGCAGCGCTGTCCAGAGCTTCAAAGTAAAGGCACTTGCAAGCTGCTCGAGGAGCGCTGCGTGAGGCTCCAGATTCAAGCCTTCAAGCTTGTCATTGGCTCTTTGACCAGTTGCTCATGTGGTTCGCCGTTTTCAGGATTTTCGGGGCCTTTGTGACAAAGGTCAATTGTGACAGCTTCAGCCCTAGGAGCCCCAAGGCGAGCTTGAAACGACTAATCAACTGGATTCAAGTCTCCTACATGCTCCAAAGTCATTTTGGCCAGCCATTCTCTGAGCAGACAGGCGGCCCATGTAGTGTGGCACAAGCCTTCTGCTCGAGCCAGGCGCCTGAGAAGCGATGATTCGGGCATTCTGGAAGTAGTGCTTCTTGCCTCCAGGGGGCAATGTACTCTACCTGCTTCAATGAACGAAAGCAAGATTGGGTCATGTTGTTCTCCGCCTTGCCTGCCGTGCTTCCCTTGGGAGAGGCTGGAAACCGAAGCTCCTCCGAGCTGTTTTCTTGGAAGTAGTGGCCCGTACTCTCTGGAGACGCGGTGTTGTGCTGGCCACCCTTGCAATGGCCCTTTGAATGACTTCCTTTTGGGAAACCTTTTGGCGTGCGGCCCAAGCCTGGGAAGGCCTCTGCCAGCTGCGAGGCCTCCTCGTTTCCCTTTTCGCTGGGCTCCGTGACCTTCGGGGCAGCACGAGAGACCAGTGAAGAAAGTGTTTTGTCCGCCGCATGCTCCAGGTTTGCTCCATCCGGCACGTGACAGTCTCCCCCTGGATGCGGATTGTGAGGCTGCGCTGGCACTGCGGACTCCTTGCAGCCAGGGGATAACAATGCAATAGAATGGAGCATCGAACTGCTAACACCAACATGTCCAACACGTGCGTCACCACCAAAATCATTTGAGCCCTCACAGGGGCCTGGTTCCGTCGCGCCTTGCGGATGCCCGCACGTTGCAAAGCCACTGCTGGCGCCACGGGTTCATCCGAGGGCATGCGAGGGCAAATTTAGATTCTCTTGGAATTTAACCGGGATGGAGAAATATCAGCTATGGGCTTAAGGGCTGAAGAGGCTTGGGGCTGCAGTAGTTGCTGCGTGTGCAAGAAGCGGTTCAACCTTGCAGCGCTACTTGTAGCAAGCTAAGCCCGATGGCAGACAACAAGTGGGAAGCATGCTTGCTGCGTATTTCTCTTCTGGCAATCAGTTCTTGCAAGGTATTGATCCCCGGATAGTGTGCTTGCAGCGTGGTATTTGATAGCACTGTTAGAAGGCGTGTTGTTGGGAGACATCTTGAGCGCTTCATTTGAAGTGCTCCCTATATAAGAGCGTTAGTTCCCGTCTCGTCCATAAACATATCCAGTTTGTGTCCCCATGACAACCCCGGCACCTTGGCTTGAGCTTGCGAGGCAACTCGGTCGCCTTTTCGGGGACTGGCCTGCGAAACTTGTATCCTCCCCAGTCTCGTCATGCCAATGCATCAATACATCATGGGTACCTACAACAAGGCTCCTGTGACCTGGGATTCCTTTCTTCAAGTTTGGCCCAATGCTACTTTTGCTTGTATGCAGCTCTTCATGCCTTTTCAAACGAGGGTCGTGCATTGATGGCTTTGATTTCTGTGGCGTTTGCTCCGGCCCTGTCGATTGCAATCTTAGGCGGCGGAGGCGGCGGAGGCAGTACCTGTAAGGCAAGGTTGGCGTGCCTTCCTCGAAGAGTCACGGGGAGAGATTGGGGCCCCTTTGAAATGTCCCGAGACACGAATTTACTGATCCCTGTCCTTGCCTGCTACAATCCCATGTCTCCTAGAAGGTCCTGTGCACATCTGCGCACGGCAAATGCGACTAGGCCTTTTGATACGTCCAATAGAGTCCACTTTTCTGCGCTGAGCAATATGCCATACTTGCTGGCTGCTGGTGGAAGCGTACCACATATGTAGCTCCAAACAAAGCCCGCACCCTTTCTAAGAAAGCCACCTCCATCATGCCTGATGGACAATGGGCTAATATGCCTGATCCTCGGCTTGATGTGTGGGTGTTCTATTGAGTTGCGCTTGTCGTAAGGGCACGCCTCCCGCATCTCTTTTGTGATCATGTCTTTGAGCTCTTCAATGCTGCAGTTCTCCAAGCCCACCTCCAGCACTCATGAACCCCTCTATTCAAGGAGGAACAGCACGCATATGCGGTAAGGCCAGAAACATCCTCTGTCCTGAGCAAGGACAAGAACCAGGACTGGGATGAATTGGGAGTATGGTATTGTAAGTATCAATGCGCCTCATGTCCATCTTTCATTTGCTCAAAATTGGGCTTCCTCTGAAGGGTCCTCGTCGTAAGAAGTCCTTACTAGCCGGGAGCCTGGCAGAATACCCCTTCGGGTCCTTTAGGACCAAGGGATCCAAGTATACAACATTGGGCCATAAAGTCTATCAATATTACCTACATTGGGCTTTTGGGATCCGTAATGATCCGTAGGGGGAGATTGTAGGAGGGAGTCTGTTTTCCACGAACGCTTTGTAGCACTGTGACATTTCCGTAAAAGGAAGCATGATCCTAAAGGCTCGAACCCATCACCCTCCACCGCGCACGTAGGATCCCCATCTCATCCCAACGACACCCTTAATCCTGTATGGCTCATATGAGCTATAGTCTAAACTCCTAGTGTCCCCCCAAAATAACCCCCATAGTAGTCCCCTATATAACCCCCTTTAAGGAGTTTAGACTGTAGCTCATATAATCCTTATATAACCCTCTATATTATAGCAGTTTCCATTTCATTTTCCATGTTCTTTTCCATTTGATTCTCTATTATTGGGGGATACTATCCCTATATACCCCTTTAAAGGGACCTAGGGTTTCCATGTCATTTTCCATTTTTTTCCATTTGATTCTCCATTACTGGGGGATACTATCCCTAAACCCTAAACCCTAAATCCTAAACCCTAAACCCTAAACCCTAATAAACCCTAAACCCTAATAAACCCTATCATGGCTCCGAAGCCGCCTCGCCCGGACTGGGTTCAAGGGATGTAGCACCTCCCAGGTCAACATGGAGGGCAGCTAGGGTTTAGGGTTTAGGGTTTAGGGTTCAGGGTTTAGGGTTTAGGGGGGAGGTGGGGGCTTTCTTGTGACAAAGACTTCTCAGACTCAGGATTCATTCCGGGTGATATTGCCGGGTCAACATGGCAGCTTATCTATCACCATGCCAAGGTATTACTATTACTACTATTTGTATTTTTCTATTACCATTTCTATCACTATTGTTACTATTGTTCCAATAATTGCTGTTTTTATTTTTCGTCAAGTGGGCTAAGGCATATCGCTGGTACAGCTCGAGTGGGGAGTGTGCGGCGGGCGACATGCTATGCTGACACGGTCGCAGGGATTATAGACCGGCTTCGGTATCGGCGAGGCGCAATGCCTGCAGCAATATGCGGCTGTCCTATAGAAACTATCTAGACTTTCGTACTAACTGAAAGTCTTTTTTTCCATGCACATCTGCGGATTCAGCACATCCAGAGAAAGAGGATGTGTCTGCACTTCTGCTAGAATCCTACTCCTGGTTCTAGTGCCTACTCTAGTTGACTAAGACTACACCAGCAATCCTTGAAGCTGAAAACATCCAAATCTGGCCCATTGCCATGCAACAAGGCCTGCTCCAGCCATACCCGGAGAGTTTTGGGCCGAGCTCTCCTGTGCTGTCAGCATTTGGGACCAGCATTGGGGGCTTCCCATGGCTTCCCCAAAACTGTGGCTGCGGGATCTGGCACACTGCCACCAAATTCCATTCTCGCCAACATGGGTCGAACATCGTTACCTTTATCCCTATATCAATATACTATAGTAGTTTCCATTTTCTTTTCCATCCCCATATAACCCCAATAGCAAATAATCCGGCGAGCCTCTTGCCCAGCAAGCGATATGCCAGTCCTGGACATGTGTAAGGGGGCCAAAATCTTTTTTCAAGGGAGGTGCACTCTTACTTCATCTGTCTTGGGAAGTTGAGTCCAGACTTTCTACACATCGATGGTAGGATCCCGCTTGCACGCATAGGGCTTCGGAATCCGAACAGCCAGAGTGACCTATAACAGGGGCCCATAATTTTGAGAACAAGCCAATAAAACCCATTGTAATAGTTTCCATTTTCTTTTCCATTATCCCCATATAATCCCCAATATAACCCCAATATACTATAGTAGTTTCCATTTCATTTTCCATTATTCCATATATAACCCCAATATAAGACCCTAAACAGCCACAGTGAGACTCCAACTCGGAAGCCACGGCTGCCAGGGCTGCGGCTGCGGCCGCCTGGTTCACGGATTTGGGGATTTCCCTTCTTTAGGGGTACATGTTTGGGGACCCCTATAGTGAGCATTATAGGATTTTTGCTTGTATGTTGGGGTCCCCCTCCTGAGGGAAACTATCATTTCCTGCAGGCTTGCTGCTTGCAAAGATGTTGTCAAGCAGCTCTCTGGAAGTACCCCCATGACCTAAAGCTTACACTAGGCATGCGGCAGGTCTTCCAAACCTAGCTCAAGACATTGTTGTATACAGAGACCCTGCATGCCTCTTAGCCTGCTCCCAGCAAGAAAACTTTGGATGATGTGGACATCTACTTATTCACAAAATTAGGGGTCGAGTGTGGGGGTCCCTATAATAAGGATTATAGTATTTTGGGGGGCTATATTTGGGTCCCCTAAGTAATGCCTGATGCACCATCACCTCTATGAGCCCTCTGTTGTCAGGTGCATCCCCACCATCGCAGTGCCCCCACACCCCAAAACTGACTGGCAATTTCCCAAAATAACGGTACCCCAATACAAACCCAAATATACCATAATCCTCACCAGATCCCCCAAAAGGTAGACGCAGCCTGGACTTGCAAAGTCTCCTCAGAATCTTCGTCGTCGGTGCTGCTCTCCTCTTCCTCCTGAACTACTCATTATTTCGTGCCGGGATTTGCAGGGCTGGTTTCAGCAGGAGTGACCTTGGAAATTTTAATCGCCAGTCAGAAAAGACATTTATGCAAAAGATTGAAACTGCGAAAGATGGTCACAACATCTGCTGAGCAAGATGGCTGCTAAAGTCTTCAGTCAGGTGGCCGCTGCAGTTTTACTTCTACAGCCGCACGCCAAAAAATGATGATGATGATGATGATGATCATCATCATCATCATCATTATCATCATCGTCACTACTCGCGACGGGTATGTATATGAAGAAGTATACTTTCGGAACCATCCAAGAGTGCAAGAGCATGTTTGGTCCTTCACAAGCATCTCCTAGCTAAGCTATATCCGCGCGCCTGCATCTAGTGAATCCAGTTGCATGGCGAGGACTGGAACCAGTCATGCTTTAACATTAAAGCTCCCCTGCTGTTGGTGTTATCCTCTTCTTCCTCTTCATCATCCAGCTGCTCGTATTCGCCGTCCTGGAACGACATAGATCTTACTTGCTAGAAGATCGAAGCGTCAGCTATCGGACTAGGATGCGCAGCTGCGCCAACTGAGTGGAGGACGTGCCTGTGTTTCCGGGTCTGTGTGGGTTCTTGAAATCCGAAGATTCTCTTTGCAAAGGGCATTGGCTAGCTTTGTCTAGCAACATTTGTTCTTCATTGCATCTGGGAGGTCAAGGGCTTCATAATATGATCTTAGGCTCAGGGTACCTTCTGTAGCGTAGACTTCGGTTATGCGGGGAGGCATGTAGCAAGCAGTGACTGGAAGCCGTTCATCTGTACATGGTGTTTGCTACTGCGCTGAAGCCCTTAAGCAAACATGCTCACACCACGGCAGCGAGTAGACTATAGTCCCACTTTAAGTAAATAGAATCTGGAAATCACCAAATTCAAAAGAAGATCACCAGATACCTCAGATTCCACCTACTTCAGGGGACGATCCTCAGGCCTCTGAGATGTCAGAGGAGTCCGATGAGTCCGAGTCGTTGGATTCAGTGGAGGAGTCTTGGGAGAAGGGGTCAACGAGAGGCCTCGGCTCCAAGGTCACTGTCTCAAGTTTCCATGAGGAAGCTTAATCTTGAATCCGGATTCGTGCAGGGGGTCCCCAATAAGGTAAAGCGTCTTGAATATCATTCTGGACCCCCTATTCGATTTGGGGGGTCTCAAAAATGTGAAATTTTCTCTGCCCACCAGGACGTTGATACAGGTTTTCAGGGCCTGGCCTTTTTCACAAGAAGGCCAAGGACCCTGCCTTTCCTATTCTCTTGAGAGCTAAACCGAGCAAGTCCTTATGAATTCAATAAAGCCAAAGGACCCCTCTTTCCGTATTGCTTTTAATAGGAACCATACACTTGCCCAGATTTAATTCTGTTTGGGGGGGGTGGAGGGGGGCAGGCCCACACTAATCAGGCTCCAACATTAGGACTTGTGAAATAGAATCAGGCTCGGGAAGCATCTGCCCAATCACCACTGCTATCATCATTGCTCCGATTCTCAATAGAGCCGCTCCTGCTCCTCTTCTTGCTCCATTCTTCTGTTTTGGGTTGGGCGGGAGACGAAAGCGAAACTGCGACCAAACATCTACTGAGCGCAACACATGTCGAAAGCAGCAGCATCGCTGGCCTTTGCAAAATCGCGCAGATCAGAACTGCACACTTGCCTGCACAATGTGCCAGTCATGCGCTGAAAACGGAATCTTCATCCGTTTGTGTAAGGTGCGTTACCTTTTTTAAGCTCGAGCGCTGGATGACGCAGCCATTGCAAGCTGCAGGCTGAGACAAAGAAAGTCTCTAAAGTACCTATAGTCTGTTTTTTTTGGAAGGCATCCCTATCAAACGATCATGTGAAATCCGGCTTGCCTCCATCCTGATCCCCATTGGCAAAGGGACCTGCTCCGCAGTTGGGGCAGCGGCCTGCCAAAAAAGGTGCGAAAGCACGGAATCCTATTTCCTGACCTACACACTGAGCCCACCGGGCCCGACGGCACCCCCGAGATGTGGCCTAGAAACTATACTAGTTTTTTTTGTTTGTGCTACCATGAGCACCCAGCCTGCGCGGCAATGTCCAACCTTGCTTCACACGTCGCTCAACATAAACCATCTCAGAAGATTTTACTTATGCTTTGTGGACGACTTCACCCCTAAGCATAGGGGCTTCATACCATGACGAAGACTGCGGGCGGGGGGAGTACTTCTCGTTCGTCCGTAATCAGAGACTGGTAAGTGACCACCAGTTGAACGTAACACCGACTGGAATCAGAACCTCTGATGCAACCTCTGAATATGCTCCCATCCATTCCAAAAGAATCCTACGTACACTCACAACAGTCATAAACTGTCCATGGGGATCGAAGACTTTAAATCATACCTACTTTGGGCCCCGAAGTCTGTAAATGCTACCTAGTTTGGGCTATTTGGATCCTTAGAGGTCGTTCGATGTCCAAGGACGGCACTCAGTTTTGCCTTCCTCGACACCACCTGCAGCTGTGACTCAAGTCTATGAATCCAGGACCTAAGGCATAGGCATACAGAAGGGGTATAAGGAAGATCATAGGAATCCCTCCAAGGGATTAAACAAAAACACCTTTGAGAAACTCGAACTGTACGATTTCCACAGGATCCTGCAAAGTAACACAGGCGGCTTCCTTTACTATAATATAGTATTATCAGTATTATATACTATAATCTGCTATAATATGCTATCATGTACCTCCCCATCATCCCCTCTTCACTGGGTTGCTTCTTGTCTTTCGCCTGGATCATCTGCGAACTGTCGCGTTCGACGCAGCAGCCTGGAGTTTGGACTGGGGGTGATGGGGGATTATATAGAATATTATATATCCCCCTTTGTTTAGGGTTCAGGGTTTAGGGTTTAGGGCTTAGGGTTCCTGGAGTTTGGACTCTGCATGTCAAGTGAGGCATCCAAGGCTCCATGCAGGCCTTTCCCTATAGTAGACTCCATGTTCTTTTCCATTCCCCCCACATAAACCCAATATACTATAGTAGTTTCCGAATATTCCCATCATCTCTATACAACCCCGATGTACTATAGTGGTTTCCCTTTTCTTTTCTATTATCCCTATATAGCCAGCATTAGCCAACGAGCCCTCTCCCTGGTCTCAAGAGTATACTTCCTAGCTGTTCATCGTAGATGATCGCAAGTCACGACTCCTAGCACATTGATGTTTGTTTGCACAGTGTTGGAAGGAAGCAGTAATTTCAAGGCTGCTTCTGTGTGGCAAGTGTTGCAGAACATGGTGAACAGAATAGTGGGTCCCCTGTTGCACCTGAAACCTGCAAACCTCATACGTTGGGAAAACCTAGCCCTGTAAGCTGCCAGGCGCCATGGTATTTTGGGGAGTGAAGACTTTGGATGCACAATTATTCAAGTAACTGCACAATTATTCAAGTAACACAAATACAACAAAGTTAATATTTAGGCTCCTTACCCTCGACGTTTGGGGCGCTCCACTGGCGAGGCCCCAGCGTCCTCTTGTGCTGGCGAGCAGCACGCTGCGCCTTTCCAAGCATCTGGGAAACGTTGTGAAGTGTGAAGATTCCTATAATTTTTCCATTTGCAGGAACTGTTTGGGATATACATATATATGTATATGTACTGAAATGTCCATTACAATGTCCGGAAAACGAATTGAGAGATTTAAAAACACATTGTCTCCAATGCCAGCAGTGGCCGCAATCCGCATCGCTCTTTCGAAGAATTAGACCCGGAAAGTGCAACTCCTACCCCAACCCCTTGTTCGCACTTACTGGAATCCAAGAGGGGGAAGCTTCTCTGTGCCGCCCTTCCGCATCCTGCCTCGTGTCAAGGATTTGTAAAACTACCCCACCATGAGTGCCCTGCTCACCAGATAGGCAGTCAGGGCCAAATGCCCTCTTGACGGGGATGAATCAGACTGCTTGTGTGGAGTTGTTCTTAGGGCTGGGCAGTTTCCACATCCAAGTAAGCTTAGAGGCAACAGTTGAGAGACGTGACCGAAAGGTAAGTACTTGCGTAGATCCTTGCAGATCAGCCTGCCAAACGGTCCCGCACGAGCAAACTTGAGCACCCTCTGACTTGACAGGCGGCGCCTGGAGGCGCCAGACTTTGTAGCTTCCAGCAAGATTTCGCCAGTCAAGGAAATCCCTTTGCCCAGAGCCTGCCTGCTCTTGCTCGTTCTCTGCATGTCGCTGCAGGAGCGATGCCGCAGCCTTGCAAGGAGCTGCGGACTTGTGTTCCGATCTGACCGACAAAAATCATCTGCAGCATCATTAACTGCAAGGGACAGCAGGACACAACCTGGCTATTACTTATGCGATCCCCACCTAGGTGTGAATGCTTGCCCAGCCCGCAGGCAGTTCAACTAGGCCCAAGGGGAGTACATCGCTCTAGCACAGCCACCATTTTGAACACTGCTGGAGAGCGCAAACTAGTGGACAAGGGTCGAGAGTGTAAGCCACAGCAAGACAAAACTAAAGCGTATGAGGACTCTGAAGAATAAAGCCACCGCATCTCTCTGGCTTCTTCGGAAGCATGAGTTGGGATACAAATTGAGAGGGAGCATGATTCTACCTACATCCTGCGCCTTGCCTGGGCAAGTGGCTTAGAGCGGGAGCCTCAGGTTGTGTTACCAGGGGCTTGAGGCGGAGGTTAGGTAGTTTCCGCGCGTAGCCAACTAAGTTGTGAGCAATGATGATGCCACATGTGGCCATGTCTGCACAAATCCCACACATGTAGTAGGCCTTGCAGGCTTGTGCTGCTGATTGCAAATCGGGCATTGTTTGTCATCAGGTGTGAATATCATCTGAAGGAAGTTCCCTACGATCGTGAGCTGCTGTGGCCTTCACCTTGGGCGCCAGGGCTTCCAGAACGCCTGCGAGTTGGGAGGCATCTGGAACACTGTCGTCGACATACCCGGCCAAACAGAATCAGAATCGAAATGTCAGGTGCGGTAATGCTCCCGCCCTTCACTTCTACATCTAGAGCAGCAAACAGACATGTGCCGCAACAAACGTGGAAGTGGACCTGGCACCTGTACATGGCCCTTTCACCCGGCCTCTGTACGACTGGATGAGTCCAGTGACTAGCGGCTTCGCCTTTCCGAGAGCTGCAAGTCAGCAATCCAACACTTACTGGGGCTTAGTAGGGAATAAGGGAATATATTACATGGAGATTACATAAGGATGATATTCCCTTATTCTCTGCTGAGAGCCAATGGGAACAGCATTCACATGCGTTAGAACCCTGGCCCATGAGCCGGGCCCAAAATATGGACCCCAATAAACTAAAATCCCTAATACAGTGACTTCCCAAAAGGCCCCCCCCCCCCCTAGTTTTTGGGAACCCGCATTGTGTTTGCCCAGGCCCTATCAGACCCGCCGACAAGGTCTTGAGGCTAGATATGCATCAGCACATAGTGGCAGGTTCCATACATAGCGGAGACCACAATATCTAAGCCCAAAAAACTGCAATCCTTATTATGGGGACCCCAAAAAGTACACTGATTTTGGGAAACTCCTGATAGACTTCATGATGATTGTTTTGATCTCGGCTTCCCGCCCAAGGCTATGCATTTGCGCGCTGGTAAGCAGTCTTGACATGGCAAGGGGATGCCATGGGCCATTGCATTCCATGGCCATTAAGCAGAGGGTTTCACATGTCCAGCCTGCGTCAATTTCGCTGTATCAGTTACATCCAGAATGGCAAATACGACTGACTGTTGTTAAGATCATTTAAATGTCCCCAAATAACAAGCATACATGTTACATGATGCCTAGATCAGACCACAAAGGGACACCATGCATCGACCCCCTGCTCACCCCGGTGGTTTCGAGGCGCTCACTCATGTTGAAGCTCTGCTGCAGTTTGGAACGATTTCGCAGCCCTTCGAAGTTTGACGCCCCGGACTAAATAGAACTTGCAACAATCACAATGCCAACATCCACAGGCAACCACATACGTTTATGCACCTATGCCTGTGTGTATACTTACTCATCAAAAATGTCACCAAACATGCTAGTCTTAACAAAACATAAAGGATACAGTGATTAGCAGCCCTTCTAGTTGCCGAGTGCCGGACATTTTGCATGCGGATCAATTCAAGAAGCTCTGACATCGCTGAGACCTTGAGGTTTCTCAGAGCTACTGGATGACAAAACAGAAAGAGCAAGCGGTGCACTAGAACTATTGCAAATGCCCATGCACGGGTATCTTTCTACACATCAATCCCTGGCAGGCAAATAGTCTTCATCCACCTTGTGGGGTACAGCACATAAGCCCATCTAATCCCATGCTAGTTCCCAAGTCGTGCAACTCTCCAAGCTCCAGGCAAAGACTCCACCCCCCAGTCGCGGCGGACGAATGCCTCCCAAGGCAATGTGTCGAAAACACTTTGTAATACAGGAGCCTGAATAAATTCCCCAGTAGCATTTTGAGAGGTCTACGGAACCAAATACTGGTAATTGTTTAGGCTTCTAAATTACTCAGGAAGCTATGACTGTGTATTCCTCATGGGATTGTAATATCATGATCATTTAAGAACCGTATCCTGCAATGACTCAGAAGTGCTGTCCCCATTGTACAACCCTTGCGAACATGCCCCTTTGTATGTCTCCGCTTCAAATCGCCTCTCCTGTTGGCAGGACATGGGTTCGGCTTAAAAACAAGCTTGAACACACACCCTCCGACAACCATACAGAAGCAGATTTAGTGCTTCGGGAGAAGAGTCACCGCATGGAGCTTTCCGGCGCTGCTTGAGGTTCATATTATAAAGATTCTCAAAATTATGGCAAGCATGGTCCCTTCGTGGCATGTTAGACACTAAATTAAGGGCCCACACGATAGAAGGAAACCCTACCCCTAAACCCACACTTCCCACAAAGCGTAGAAGTATTATTGGTGGTAGTAGTAGTAGTAGTAGTAGTAGTAGTCGTAGTAGTACGCGACCTAGTAGTAGTAGTTGTAGTAGTTGTAGTTGTAGTTGTAGTTGTAGTTGTAGTTGTAGTTGTAGTAGTAGTAGTAGTAGTAAGAATAGTAGTAGGAGTAGTAGTAGTAGTAGTAGTAGTACTCCTCTTATTGTCCTTATGATTCGGAATTCTAAGCCTGCTGGAGCTCCATCACAGGCATTTTGGGGGTCCCTATAATAAGGACTATAGTGTTTGGGGGTCCATATTGGGGTCCCCCTCTTTTCTTTTGGGAAACTACCTTATTGCAAGTATTGAAACTCCGACACCTACAAGGGGTTCCTCGAGTCAGGGCACACTATCAAGCGCTGGCGGAGCAGACATGGGCAATGGCTGCTGCAAAGGGTAGTTTCCCTAAATAGGGGGACCCCGATATAGCCCCCAAAATAATGACATCCTGATTATAGGAGCCCTAGTTTTTGGAACCATATGCCAACCTGAGACCTCCTCAAGACCCTATTCAATTTATCTTAAGGGGAAAGCCTTCCTCTATCCGGAGCCCTATACCCCTAAACCTAAGCCCTAACAACTCAACCTTCTAGGGCCCTGACTTTGCGCAATGCCCTCCAGGAGCAGGCCCTAGGATCTGTGAGGTTTGAAAGAAGGTTCATAAGGACTTCCTGTGGAAAATGGGAGGGGAACCATAGGGGTCGTATAAAGGGATCGCGTAATGCAGGGGCCTTATGTGATTACCAACCAATATCATGTCGAAGTCTGTTTGAGGTACCCTATACCATAAATATACCGAATATCTGAGACCATATTAATGTGGACAATTATTGAGGCCCCTACATTAGGTACTTTAGGGGAGTGTTTAGGTCTGAGCGTTTCAAGGGGCAGGGCCTGGAGAAGTAGGGTCTTGTAATGGCCATGTATGTAATATACTATAATATACTGACTTTCTCACACACTGTGATATTGTTGGGAGATGCCTAGTAAAAATGTGCAACAAATATGGAGGAACGTTAAACCACTTCTCCAACTCCAACATTCCGGTTGCTACCCTGCATACAGGCTGCAATGGGCTGCCATGAAGGGCCATGAACGATTTGTAGGGGCTCTGTATACATTGTTGATCATATAGCTTTATGTATAGAATTGCTGAAGGCTGTAAGGCGTAGTGCTCTGATGAACAGCGGGCGGATAAAAGGAGGCTGCAGGCCGCCATTTTTACATTGTGTAGGGACCCAAGGTATGCCCACGAAGCCTGGTCTATGCTGTGACTTTGTGTTGGGAATCGGGTTGATACAAACCATGTTCCGAACTGTTCGTCGCGGAGGTTGCTTGAAACATATGTTCGCTTGCAGGTGTTCGTGAAGATGCTTGGTGCCAGGCGTGGTGCTTGTCACAGCGCAGGGTGGACATGCATGCATGTAATATCATGTAATGTAGAATGTGCAACTTTTGGGTGCTCCTGTAAAGGCTGGTACCTGCGAAGTTGGACATGTAGAGACTATGCACTTGAGAGCCGTACGAACACGCCACCCTCCAGCAAGTTGGGAAGGTACATGTGATCCTGCATGCTTGTGATTGTTGGCGCACAGAAATTTTGTAAACTGCGATGTCATTGTGAGCGGTAGCCTGTGGTAACATCCTTGTCAAGACGTCCAGATACTCTTATATACCTCGACAGTCTGAAGGTTTGGAAAATTCTCTTGCGTGCCCTTAGTTAGCCCTACTTCCCAGCTACACACGGAATCTAGCACCCAGTCAAATGAAATACAGATGCTTACAGGCCACAATCAAGCGACGTCCTCGGCTTTGACCATGGCTTTGACCTGCCAGTATTGCAGCATGAATATACATCTCTCCGAAGCTCACAATCGCCATCAACCCTGCAAAATTAAGGGTGTCAATTGTGTTGGGCTCCCTTGGCAATCTCATGTTCGGGGCAGGGGCGGGGAGCGAGATTTGAAAAGCCTCCCAGTGCCAACATTCTCCAGCTGTAAAGCCTCTGGTAGCAGCTAAAATTTCGCAAATGATCATCCCTCATTGCTGCGATTCTAGCCTGTTCTCGAACCGACTTTCAACGGCACCCTTACGTGTATGCGCATCGCTGCACGAAGGTCTCCCTGTATTGGGCAGCTATCAAAGGGTAGGTAACTATCTCTTAGAGATTATAGGGCCGTATGGCAAAGAGGACAAGTAAAAAAAAAGATCCGACATAAATTTGACAGCGTACTTGCTACAAGAAGGAGGATCCCAAAACTATAGCGGTTTTGCTTTTACGGCATTTTACGGTTTACGCGCGTCGAAAAAGCAGGCACAAGGTCTAGGGGGCAAAGGGGCTATGGGAAGATTACGAGGTGAGGGCTTAGTCCCTAGGCAAGATTTTGGGCCATTTTGCACGGTTGCTGGAAAGGAAAACAAAATTTGAAAGGGTTGCCACCCCAAATGGCTTCTAGGCAGCCCGGCCAGTCGCACAGGTGCCAACTGAAGGTGTCGGTGTGGCGTAGCCAAAGCTATAGCCGCTGCCTCATCATTCACTGGCTTTTCAGGGGCAGATGGGCAAAGTACAGCCAGCACATGGGAAATTTGTACGGTGCATGTATGTCTGTGTGTGTGTATGTATGTATGTATGTATGTGGGTATGTATGCATGCATCTATGCATGAATTGATGTATTGTATGTATGCCTCTAGTATGTGGGAAAATTGTGTCTTTCCAAAAAAAAAGAGAAGATCTCCGTGCCCTAAACTTCGAATATGTGAAAAGATGTTGCGGACTTCTGTCCCCGCCCCCGCTAGACACCATATCTTATTAGAAGAAAATTTACACAAACTTATTACTAGGGCTGATTAGGCAATATTCCCATGTTCCCTACTGAGAACCAGTAAGCAAAGTAAGGAGGCTCAGCCTTTCCCAAAATAGGAGGACCCAATATACTACAATCTTTCTTGTGGTCACCCCAAAGAAGGTACACCTAACTTTGGGAAACCCTAAACCTCAAAGCTTATATATGCCCTATATCTCCTTTAAAGGTACCATAAGAGAGAGCGTGCGTTTGGGTCCCGAAATGAAAAGCAGACAGTCAGACAGTCAGACAGTCAGACCCGAAAAGCAGACAGTCAGAGACTCAGACAGTCAGACCCAACAGGCAGACAGTCAGACAATCAGACAGTCACACCCGGCACGCAGGCAGTCAGACAGTCAGACCTGGCAGGCAGACAGTCTGACGATCTGACTGTCTGACTGTCTGCTACGCGGTTCGGGCCCCATGCCGCGACCTCAATCTACCATAAGGTACCATAAACTAAGCAGCAGGTTGGCAGGTTGGGCCTTGTAGGCGAGATTGTGCTCGAACATGAGTTGTCTCGGATGGCGGCTGTGATTCCTCAGAGCAGGAACCATATGAACAGGGTTGTTGCCATGACCTAATGAAAGTAAGAGTATCCATGCCCCCACCATTGGAACTGCATTGGGGGCTAAATTACATGAGCACAACCATTTCCATTTGATTTTCCACAATTCTCTATTGTTGTATTGTATGTCCCTGCTAGAAAATGTCGGATTTCCAGTAATGCCATGGGTACCTTCTGATCTGAACCCCCCTAATCATGTAGAGCAGGGATTCTGGTTTCGGCTGTGGGCTTTTATCTTGAGCATGGACAGGTTTCTGCATTTTAGCCATTTAGCGACATGTGGGGCTGCCCCCTGAATTATGTAGCTAATTCTTACCAGGCAAACTGAGGGGACAGCATTTAGAACCCCTAAATGGGCATGTTCCAACAGTTTTGACCAACAAGCCGGCCCGATGCTTGGGTCATTCAACCCCTTCGACGTAATTACCTTGGTCCCTGGAGGTGCTCAGGGGCCAAAGGCTTGCTAGAAGGATCCCCATTAAACGCACTCAGCACCCGGCGCGACTGCGAAGGCCAAAAGCTCACAAACCACCTGGAGTGCCTGCGACATGTACGGGTGCTTCTGAAAATCACAGGTCGTTCTAGGGATATCAGGCATGGCAGGCATTGATACGAACGCAAGGGAACTCTTGTATGCCCTTTTGCGGTATGTACCCTCAAGCAAAGCCTAGAGGATCATGTCGGATGTGTAGGAGTCTCAAAGCGGATTTTCGAGCTTCCGCTGGGTCCCTATGCTCTCAATCTTCTTGGAAATGCCAATAAAGCCTGGTCTGAGACCTCTAGGGCCGCAGCATAGGCCTCTGACTGTCGCAGGTTTCGAAGATGCGGATTCTTCTCCTGGGAGCTCTCTCCGAATAGCTTGGGGGCCTGAGAGGATTATGCGGGGATGTCATCTTCTCCTAGGTGGTGATGCAAGCTTCAGATCCAAACAAGCTCAGAAAGGGTTGAGGCTTTGGGTAGGGCATGCAAATCAACAACAGGCCCCCACGACTGTGAAGATGCTTAGTGGACCACTTGCTTACGTATATGCAGGAAAGCTGGAAAATAAAGCTGGACAAAAACAAACATGGAGAATGCCATGGCAACACTAATGCGTGGATGCTTCTCAAACCAACGCGCAACTATTTGAAGGCGCGCGTAAATACCGAGTCTCAAAGCTTGATGTATGCAAGAAACCGAGCTGGGACTAGCACATCTGCGTTTTGGATCAAAGGCCATGCCTGGCAGCGGAAAAGGAGTGCCCGACTCAAGCACTGAAGAAAAATCTGCAGTTAATTTTTAGGTCCGGGCTATGGGTCCTACGATGTCACAGGCCCAACGTTCGGGTCTGTTGCTCCTAGGTGGGACACTTCTTGGCATGTGAACGCACGACAGACGAAGCAAGCTCTCAATAGCGGAGAAACCCACCCACGCAAAAGGCTGTAAAAAGCACCAAAAATCAGCAGCCCTACTTGTTCTCGCCCAATGCCCCGATGCCATGTCTCTTCAGCTTTTCCCAATCACAGATCACAAGCGGTGAGGGTCGAGAACTGCACATTTTTGGGAGACAGGGGCATTCCCAAAACTTACAAGTGAGGGCACCCAAAGCAGACACAACCCTACTGAGATCCATGTATTGGTGCCTAATGCCACCACACTGCGCAGCACACCACAAAACAGAAGGTTGTAAAGGTGTGCCGGCTGGGCAAGCCGTGTGACAAGATCCTTTTTGTAGAGGAGCGTGCAAAGCATATCGCCTCAGCAGCTTCGTCTGAAGGCTACCCATGTGAAGGTCTCCAGATTCCAGGCAATTTCTGAGTGCCGCATACTGAGCCTCCTGAAGCGATTTTGGGGGCTTGGGTGGCTCTGCAGTGATCCTTCGGCTTGCTGTATAAATGCCATTATCTGTTCAGCCCTCCCTGAAACCCCACCCCACACCCATAAGGCCTGGCCTAGCAGCTTAGCATGCTCAATGTGTTGCAAGCACCAAAAAGGATCCTCCCAAAAAGTTGCTCCCAAACTTTCGAAAAAATGAGACGCTTTCCATACATTTGCTCGGTGATCCACGTAAGCAGCACTTCAAAGTTTGGCCTTATAGTCCCCCCTTAAGTAGATGGAATATGGGGTATATGGGGATCTTATTATACTGTACCCAAAGCCATATTCTATCTACTTAAGGGGGACTATAGGCTCGGAGGCTGACCTCCGCGTCGCAAAGTAGCTTTGGAACAAATTCTACAACTGAGCAACATGACATTACTATAGCCCCAATGTACTATGTGTAGTTTCCATTTTCTTTTCCATTTTATCCCTATATAACCCCATTATCCCTCATATCCGTCCATGCACAGCAGAAAGAATCTAGCCGTGGGCCTCATGGCATTCCAGGCAATTGCGGGATCTTCTACTCGTAGTCACTGTAAATACTGAGACAGCAAAATCACCACCGAAGAACATTAAACCCTACTCTGAGCAGAGGGCGAGCTTCTGACTTGAGCTGCGTGGTGTCCATGACCTGCCAGTGCAATTTATTAGCCCATGAACAATTAAAACCAGGTCGCTGGCAATATAATCTGAAGAAGAAGACTCGATCATCAACGCCTCCACTGCAAGGTGAGCGAACCTACCCAGCCATCTCTTACCGAGGAAACCCAACTTTGACACAAAAAGCCCACAAATACCAGAGGCCCCTGCAAGCTGCAGCACATCCGCCACCTGGCTCTGGACCTAGGAAATAATCCAAAAAAAGCCCTGCTCGGACAAATGCTATGGCTTGATGTTGGTGAACAGCGCCTGTGGTCTTCAACACGTCCAAGGATACAGTCATTGCTGAAATTGGTCAGACAGATTGGACCCATTTAACAATGCATGCATGCAAAGGCTCGGAACGCATACGGTTTATCAGCAGCAGGAGCTCAGTGCAACTGCAACCCGCTCGTCTCGTGTCTGTTCAGGAACCCTGTTCCAGGTGTCCGACGCCGTGATCCGGGTCGCGGAACCTTGGGAAAGTAGCACGGTCCATGCTGGCGATGGCGAAGCTGTGGTCCACCCATGACTACGCCTCATGGCTGCTGCTTCCCCGCAGATTCAACACCTTCACTCTCAGAGCCTTTGCAAGTTACAAGAAGTGTGAGAGAGCGTCTTGAAACGCCATCTAAGGATGGCTCATGGAACCGTTCATCAGCTAGTCCGCTCCTAGTGCCCTGAAGCATCCCACATCTGGGCAAGGTGCAAAGTGCGAATCAAGATATGCAGCAGCTCGTCGCCCCTGGCGATGGTTCCACTTGGTTTAATGTACAGATTTTCAGACATCTTTGACAGCTAGGGCATACTTGCAAAAAAGATCTGGAGAGTTACCAGTGTGCAGACTTGCGGCCGAAATAGCGATTCCTACGAGTTTTGTCTAGCAGCCTCGACCTTCTTTGCAGGCACAATTGCATCCTGTTGCTCAACTGAGGCCAAGGTGATTTGACCGAATGATGGCGTGTTGGAGATGCTGGAGTCCGAGAGCATGCTGGACTTACAATTGTCTTACAGACAGCTTTCAATTTGTTTGCAAGCCTGCGGAGCGTGGACGCAGTTTGCAGTTAGGCAAAGCGTACACATGGCACAACACCTTTTTGCAAGGCATCAGCATCTGGAACGATCCGCTCCAAAGGCAAGACTTTCTGTTGCTCCCGTTGGAGAACTCGAATTCCGTCTCATAAGCTCTTGAGATAGTTGACACTTCCAAGCGAAACCCCACGTCATTCCTGGCCCCTGCCTCTCCGCCGGCTTGTGAAGTGCATGCATGCCGAAGCAAGGTAGTTGCCTCGCCTGAAAATCTGTACTTCAGGCAACCTGCAACACTATCACGGCAGCTAGGAGACTGTCCCAGTCACATCAGGATGGGGACATAAAAGCGAATTACCACCATGGCAAACATTGCGGCATAGAGAATCTCAACACGAGATTCCATGGGAGGTCCGGCCCGCGATCAAGCACCGCCAAGCTTGCTGCTCCGGGTTGCTTCCGCATGTACTGCTTGGAGGATCAGGTCTTTGGCTCTCTGCACACCACCTCAGGTACACTTCTGCGACCCTGTTGACTGACTGCCCAACAGACCTGCTTTCTGAAGCCTATTTAGCCTTTTTGAAGATGTTGTAATTCGGCCTGACAACCAATGACACTTTGCAGGCGCGAGGCACCCTTCTTTTAGGCTGGCACTGACTCTCATAGGGGAAAGAGGAGGCAGTCCACTTAATTGGAGGGAGCGCAAGTATCTTCAAGCATTTTTGTTACAAAAAACGCTGCCATGACAACCGGCGAGGCAATCACCACTGCATGTCAAGCCAAATCAGCTACTGAAAGGCACAGTGTTGCGGGTAGCATGTGTTCGCATCATTAGTGATTATTTCACGTCTGAAAGCCCGCCTGCTGATCGCATCCGCGCAGCGCACTCCTCGGCTGTCGCCCTGAATGCTGGGGTTGTGAACACCCTGTCCACGGCCTGTGCCACATCCTGTCGATACTTTGCAGCCACCTGCGTAGCATCGCTCGCGTCACAAATGGGACGTTCGACCTGCAAGCCTACGCCCAGCTGGACGGCCTTCTCAGCATTGACAGGTTGATCTGCAAAGCCCGGGCAAACGACCACCGGAACTCCCATGCTTAAAGACTCCATGAAGCTGTTCTGGCCCCCGTGCGTCAAGAACATGTCCACACCCTCTTTCAAAATGTCGACTTGTGGCATGACAGGCAAACAGAATGCGTTCGCCGGGACGGAGATGTTCTCTAGAGCATCTTGCTGAGGTCCGACTGACACCAACAACAGCGGCGCTGCTTTGTCGCCCTCTTCTTTGGCACCGAGACAATCGAAAAGAGCACCCCAGGCCGCTTGGCACAACTCTTGACCTGACAGGCCCTGAGGCACACCATCCATTTTGATGCGGTTGGCCCAGCCGACTTCTGGACTATCTCCCGTGATAACTGTTCCCATGCTGGCAAAAACCACCTTTCGACCAGCTGCACGGGCATTGCGCAGCAAGGTCAAAGGATCCACGTCATCACCAACCTTCACTGCCTCCGCGGACTCTTGCGGTTGAATCTTGTGTCCCGCTGCTCGCTTAGCTCCGGCTTTATCCAGGAGTGGTCCAACGAAAACAAATTCGGTTTGGTCCGCCTCATAGACTTGCTGAACATCCGGAGCCACAGGGTCTGCAAGAAACTCAACTGTAGTGACAAGTGTCAGTGCAGACTTCTGGGCGACTACGCACATTCCGAGAGGTGACATGTCCTCGTCAACTGTAACCTCCAAGCTATAGCTGGAACGCAAGCGATCAATTGCTTCGTTCAAGGGTTGGTATGCTCGGCGCTCCTGATGGCAGGGTACAGCAGCATGTCTCTTTAACCCTACAATGAAATCATGTGGTAGTTTCCCAAAATAGGGGGACCCTAATATGGACTCCAAAATGCTAAAGTCCTTATTATGAGGAACTCCTAAATGGTACGCCTAATTTTGGGAAACCCTCATCCATGTATTGTGACGCACTCTCCTCCAGGCAGCGCTCAGGGGTGTAGCCCATTTTTGCCATCCAGTCCACCATTGCCGATCGAAGGCTTCCTGGCCCAGCCGTGGTCAAAATTCCAATGCAAGGAATGCCAATAATCTGCGCAGCCCAGCATGCCTCCTTGTTCATCAATGGACAAACAACAACCGCCTCTGCCCCAGTTTTTCGCAACCAGCGCAGGATACCAGGCAGCATCATCTCCGACATGATTTCCTTGATTTTGAACATGGCAATGAAAAGCGGGTCCTCTTCCAAGCCGAACTCCTTTTGGAGGTCGGTCAAGCAACCCATGATGTCCAGCTGCCTGACCTCATACAACTCACGCATCTCGTCGACCTCTGAGTAATACATGGCACCGGTATCCTCAATGGCCTCCTTCATCTGTTCCCTGCACAGGTAATTGACTTCGTGCCCTTCTTCCACAAGGGCTCGGGCCACTGGCAAGGATGGGTTGATGTGTCCCGAGGCCATCGGAAAGATGAAGCCGAACTTGCGTTTGGTGTTGACACCAGCCATGATGATGCAAGGCGTGCTGCGTACAAAGTGGAGCGATAAGTCAGGAGCCAAAGCCTCGGCATGTGCGCCGTGCGCCGAAGCCAATCAAGTGAAGTCGTGTGAAGAAATTCTGTCCGGGATCATACTTAACGTTGCAGAGACGTTCACAGCCTAATGCTGACATACCTAAGGAGGTCAACAAATTGATTCCACATGTTTTCAGATTTCCAGAACTGGTGAACTACGACTGTTATAGAATCACAGAGAGTCAGCTACTCCACGAGCTGGGTCCCTGGCTCCTTCCCCGTGAGCAAGTGTCGACGCCTGAGGCTCATGGGTTGACAGATGAGTCCGCGTCCCAGCGGTGGTATCCCTACTGTATGCACCCAATGACAGAGCTCCTGTCTTTGAAAGCTACACGAACAAGTCATCATACTCTTGTAAGTCACGCAGCTATTCGAGCATCCCGCTTCCGTGCAAGCAGATGGATTGAGCCAGTTGCATATGTCTTCGAACCACTGTGCAAGCAAATGGATTGAGCCAATTGCACTTGTCTTCAACCACTGTGGTGGTGGTGTTGGTGGCGGCTGGCAGTGGTGGTGGCGGCGGCGGCGGCGGTGGCGGTGGCGGTGCAGGGGGCGGCGGCGGAGGCGGCGGGTGTGGCGGTGGGGGTGGTGGCGGCGGGGGCAGCAGCAAGTAGTGAAAAAGGAAGGAGAAGCAGCAGCAGCAACAGCACAAGCCGCAGCTGCTGTAAAAAACGAGATCTCTTGCAAACATCACTGCGCACTCCGACAAAATTTGTGTCTTACGAAGAGAGTTCTGCATGGAGCTCCGGGGACCAGACAGGTGGGCAGGATCGTTCAGAGTCAACTGAACGAGCACCTGGAAGACCGCCGTTTGTAAAGATGGGTCTTGGAAGACGGAGAATACTCTCGGAGATATCGCATTTGCCTGGAAGGCGCAGGATCTTGAATAAGCCTGCGAACACCCCTTCCTTCCAGCTGTGAAAACCAGGGTCAAAAAAAACAGTGTCAGAAATGTGAGCACGTCGGTCTATTCACAAGGCATTGTTGTCCCATACTTCCTGGTTGCCCTGAACCATTCGAAGCTCGCCACAACATCAGGATGAAAGGGCTCGTGCGGAAGCTGTTGTGGCGGTGCAGAAGCGCAAGTAGATTCATGTTCGATGTCGTGCTTGATGGCCCCCATGCTTCGACAAGAGCCTAGCGGGCCTAGCGCCAAGGACTTACAAGTATCTTCGGATTCAACATGATTTCATGGCTTTGCTTCCACACGCAAACAGTCGCGCAGTCTATCAGTCAATCGTCTGTAATATAGCGTGACATAATATCTGACATAGCTATAACAGACTATCATCAACTAAAATTGGTGATAATGGTGATTCGAAAGGTGTGCCAGACACTAGGACTGTCACGCCTGTGAAGCAAAATGCAAAGATGAGTATGTGAGGTAAAGGTCCTGCCCTGCTGGTGCCAGGACCGGCACAGCATGAATGAGTGAAGGTACAAACGAACGGTCAGGACCCCCAAGCTGTCCCAGCGAAACCAACGAGCAGGCAAATGTGGGTACGGTTTTGCGACTGGACGGGGCAGCTTCAACACGGGGCTCCACACCGCTCCCCGTCCCTGCATGAATGAGACCATCACCACAACAACATGCAATAACAGCAGCAAGCTTTCTGCGCATAAAACATGCTGCATAGACGCACAACTTCCTAGCTAACCTCTCCTCATGATGCCCAGGGCCACCGGTCTGGAGCACTTGCTTTCCGATGAAAATCAATATCCCCACCTGTAGCATTCAAGCAGGGACGTAAAGGGGCATAGTCGGGGGCACGGGACACAGGAAATCCTTACGGTCCAGCCCTTCACAGGTTCTAAGCCAAGAACAGGTTTCAAACTTGAGTACCGCTGCGTCTCTAACAATTCGATATTCTATTATGTTATGAACGGGCCAAGCCGCCAACAGGCCCCAACACCATGCACCTTGAACAAAAAAAGGCTATTGGTTGGAGGCAGTACCCCAAGTCAAGCCTCCATGGCCATGTGCCGTGGCAGTGGCCCCTGCGCCCACAAGACTTCTGCTTCCAACTGCTGGCATGGCTTAGGGATCTGCCCTGAGTACCTGGGGGGAGGAATCCGCTCTCTCTGATGTCGCGTGCACTTGCTCTAATAGAGAATGTTGCTTGCAGAGACCTGCGTGATTCACAAGAAGGTGTTTTTGATTGGGGGAGCATGCTTTTGTAACACCAGCTTCCTCATGGCAGAGCACGCCCGAAAGTTAGAAGAAAAGCGCAGGCTGTAACTTCAACCCTGCCTCGGCCGCAGTTCCGTGAGCATCCTGGCTGCAGCCAGCTTTCCATTGGGAACAAGAGCTTCAGCACTTTCATGCACTTTAGCACCACCTGCCTAAAACGTCTAAGCAGCGGGAGCTGCGGGAGAAGGCTGTTCTTGGTGGCATCCGCTGACGCTAGATGTGATGCTTAAGGGTAGGGGTTTACTTTGTCTCGAAGTTAACAGCTAGCATCAAAAACAACGAAAGGAAGCCAAAACAAAAGACTTCTCGTTTCAGGCTTCCGGCTTCCCAACCCCAGAATGCCGCGGCAACGCCGGTGTAACTTATGACTTCCAACCTGTAACCAACATACTTCAATTTCAAGTTTTCTTTGCATATCTGAATGTATAACTCGGAGTCCCAGACGAAATCCAATACTGCCATCTAGTTCCTGCCTCTGCAGACAGGAAGGGCAGCAGCACTGCAAAAAGGCCTTGCCTGGTTCCAAGCTCCATTCTTCCACATCTATGTGCTTTTCTACCATGGCTGGCGAAAGCTTCAGCAATTTATCTGGAACTAATAGCAGAACTGCTGAGAGTGGGGTCCGAAGTTCCCGAAGAAGTCTCTGCTGAGTTGCAGCCCTCCAGGTGACGAAAGAACCCAAGCAGTCACAAACGGCAGCAAACCTGTTGTCAAATGGCCCCAACGAAAGTACAGTGTGTACGATCACTCGATACGACCAGGACCTAGCCCCCGCAGAAAAGAAAAGACTGGACGTGACGCTGGCATCTGGCCAGCTATTGAGGCACCCCCAAAGCCCCCAAAGTACACCTCGACCCTTCGGAGCCATTTCTGCTAAGGCTGCTGCTTCACCATCTTCTCGTAGAGCTGCTTCCGCTCGCCTGGTCAGGAAGCTGCTAAGGGCCCGAAGAATAGGCTCGGCACGGGACAATAGAGAAAGCAAGCCGAACACTGAATGATTACATCGTGTAAGCGCTTCCGCAAAGTTCTTCACCAAAACATGTTTAGTCTACCGATCCATCTGCTGATGGGAGGCCCGCCATGTTCCGCAGTGCTATGACTGGTTCTAAGAAAGCATTTGACTGGAGGGCCAGGCTTGAATCATTAAATTTACTTCTGACAGTGGCGTTGTACATCTCAGAATCCCGGATCTTGGGATTGGGTGCCCAGCATATGTATTAACAGTATGGAAGAAGGACTCTAATTCTGAGAAGCTTGCCTCAAATTTTGTCGTCCAGCAAGGGGCAGCCCGGTGCTGATGAGCATCCTGCTCATCTCCATAATATGCCTATACAACCCATCTGTACACAGAATCCCCATAAGGCACCCAAAATATCCGAATTTTGACGACACCCAACTGGGAACTTATATCCAACAATCTACTATAACCCGTATTATAGGCATTGCCCAAAAAATATAGGAAGCTGCCAAACGCACGCTCCCACCTGGTGGCATGGCTTTTGCCAATCTGCAGGCGTCCTCCCGAAGCATGCGCCAAGGTGCGAGTATCTTCTCCCAAATTCATGGAGAACGAAATGGAACAGAGCATGGAAAATGAAATGGAACCTGGGGGCTATACAGGGTTTTACAGGGATTAGGGTTTCCAAAATTAAGTGTGCTTCTTGCGGGCCCCTGATTTATGGAAGATATGGAAGCCAGCGTGAAGCATTGAAAGGCCCCGCTCATCCATTGACACGAACCTCCAAACATGTTAGAAGACATGTCTGCTGGTACAGTGAAATTTAGATAGGGCTTGTGGACTCGAGGCATGTTTGAGGTCTGACATACTATATAGACACAAACAACAGGATGTGTGGTCTAGGCCGGGCCCATAACCAAGTTTTACTCTAAGCGCAGAAGCCATGAACACACAAAAGCATGCGGACCCGAAAGATCTCACGAGGTTTTCGTGATGTTGATCTAGGACTCAAAACCCAGGCTACCCCGATCCTGCATGACATCCAGTAACACTTCAGTACGAGGCGGAAGTCTTCACCAACTCGTGCTGGGCACTTTGGGGAATTTCTAGCAATTCTCTTGTAAACCCCTCAGTCTGCGCAGCAGAACGACTGCAGGCCTGCAGGAAGAGCAGGCTCTGAAGATCCTGCTGAGTGATCTTTGGGGTGAAGGGGCTATACAGGTCAAATTGCAGGTGCTTGAGATTCGTTTTTGGGCCAAGAGGTTGAGGGTTCAGAGCGCTCAGACAGACAGGGGGTACCCCTATAAACCGGGTGCTGCCGCCCCTGTGTTCTGACATCTTATATACCTGTATATGTGGTATGTACGTCCACACACATCCCGAAGCCATGAAGCTCTAAATCCTACTCCACATGGAACCGAGTGGTACATGAAGCGTAGCCCTCATCGAGGGAAAAGGCCGTCTAAAATGCCAGTTCCTCCCACAAGCAGCAATGTGGGGTAGGCTACCGCTGTCCCAGTTGGCGACTGACATGGCTGAAGGCGGTGACACTTCTTTTGAAGCATATATACGCAAAGTTCCAGGTGTCCTTGAAGAACCTACCCTCCTTAAGACAACACCAGTGTGATTAGGATGCGAATGTGCCGTGGCGGATAATACTGCGCCGGGATCCACTGTGGCTTTCAGCCGAGTTCTCTCGAAAACATTGCACAAACTGTAATTTGCAGTCTCTTGAAGCCAGGAATAGGGTTCTTGATGCCTACATGCCAACATAGCGCGTTTGATGTACGAGTATCTCTGTAACTGATAGCATCCTTACCAGATGGACCAGCCTGCAAGCATGCCCCTGCACCTCTATCCGGATTTGGGCTTGGGAGTTCAGAGCTGCAGGCCTTCTGATGAAGCCCATCAAAGAGCTGCTTCAGCAGAGGCTGGCTCCTGAGCAGTGGCATTTAGATGTTGGTGTGGGGCCACAATACTGTTCAAACATCTTTGAAGCCATCAGCTTTGATGATGAGCTGCGTTTGAAATCGGAACTAGACGGTAGATGTATCCTGTCGTCTCCTGGGCTTCTAGGCAACGTAGTCGAGTCATAGGCTGCGGTGAGGACCAGGCTTCTAGGACTTCAGAGACATGGCCCAGGTTCTGCATGGATGTTTATCAGAATTGTAGCTCCTTTTGCGGGCATCCAGAGTGGTGCTATATTCAAGAAGGAACCCCCAAAATGTGAGAGTATCCTCTGGAAGCAAGTTTCATCAGGTTTTGTGGCCCGTGGGCTGCTGTTACTTGAGAGGGTTCCTGCAGTGGACTCCCTGCGTACTTCCTTATACAAGTATGTAAATCGAATCATAGACTCAGCCTCGGGCTTCTGCAAATGGTTCAACAGGACAGTGTTGTTCTGGATAACCTCGGGTCGTGCAGCTTTGGGCAGTAAAAATCCAAAATGCTCCTCCCTTCAGAAGCAAACGCCAGACATTCATGACAACAGCCGTGCTGATGATGCTAGAGATTATAACGATAACCCCTAAGAGGCGTTGCCGTAGGCCCTTTCGTATCTTTCTTTCTTTCTTCGCGGGGGGGGGACCTTCGCATTCTGTGCTGGCGGCCTCTGCCCTGACTGAGGTCGCGGCTTGTTGTGTCCTGAGGAGACAAAAACAGGGTGCTGCAGGATAGGAAAAATATGGCCATGCACCTAATTAGATGCATGCTGGGACTTCACCCGCATTAAAATGTAGAGTCGTTTCCATTTTCTTTTCGATTACCCCAATATAACCCTAGTATAATCCAGATATAACATACCACTATAAGCAACCCAAATAATAGGGTTTAAGGGTTCAAATACCATGAATATTAACCCACATTAAGCAGGCCTGAGATGCCCCAAGTCTCGCTGGAAGCTTTTGCCAAGCCAGGCGCATTGGGGAGATGAAGGTCAACTGAACGCTGGCATTTGAGGATCTGCAGAGGAATCCGCTGGCCGTCCCCCACGCTTTGGAATGACCAAAGCACAGGGAATTCAGCCGCAGTTTTACGACGCGACTTTGTCACCATCTGGCCCTCTGGAAAAAAGCAAGGCCTCAATGCCGTTGCACAGGCGGCTTGGCCGCATCATGCATGCGCAACCCCCGACGAGCCGCAGGAGGTCGAAAGACTAGAATTCCTTAAGGAAGGGTTCCTATGCAGCCTTCGCCAGGCTGAAACATCTCGTGCCGAATCCAGGACTCCTCTTCGAAACGAATGGGAGAAGCACGCTATACTCAAATATTGGGCAGCAGCAGGGGGCACCGCCTGATGACTGGCAGTATGCCAGGAACAAGATCTCAATCGTATGTCCGAAGTTCAATAAGCGATCCAGGCACATGATACTGATGCTTGCTCATTTCTGCGCCTGCATCTGGAGCTTGTAATACCTTGGCTGGTCCATATTGGCCAGTTGATGTGCCACCCCCCTCCGTAGTTAATTCAAAACTAATATAGGCCCAGCGAACCGTTGTTGCCTAACATGAGCTAGCTCAATGGGAAAAGTTGCAGGCCCCAACGCCAGGTCCTGCTCTGCATTGCCCGAAGCAACAGGAAGCTCTCAGTTGCATGGGGCACAAACCAGGTGCTAAGAATGGCCCAAAGGTCTTCAACACTTGTGGTGTCCCCACGTGCTACAATCATTACAATCATAAAAAGCCTCAGCCCGAGCGAAGCCACCCATAAGACCGGGTTGCACTCCCTTGTGCTGCATGAGCTCCGTGTGATTGCCACTTTCCACCACGCGGCCATCAGCGTTCACCAGAATGATGTCGCAGCCTTGGGTCCGTCTAGAACGTGCTGAGGGCTCATCGTGGGTAGAACCCTCATGGCCTCGTGCACGAAGCCTAAACTATCCCAACATCAAGTTATGAGATAATGAGACAAATTCTCAAAACAAGGGGTCCCAATAGACGCCGAGGCAATCCTCCTCCTGCTTTAGGATTTCCAGAGTGCGCCTACCTCCCGCCAAAACAAGCTCTGATCTGGGGCTCGAGCCTTGTACAGTGGAGAGACGATGGGCAATAGCAAAGGAGGTACGACCTTCTCTCGCCGCCTCGAGGGCCTCAGTGAACTGTGCCCTTGACATGTACTGAACCCTAATCCCTCTCAAAATGAAGAGAAACTATGAAACCAAGAATAGCAATTAACAATCGCACACAGGGACTAAGAGTCTGATTTCTGCCCGGCTCATTTACAGAGGCATAATTCTGGAAATTCTAGGTTCACACCCGCCTCAGTGGGCGCGGCAACTTCAAAAATCTACGCTGCCCCTCGGAACTGGCTCACTGAAAGAAGGGCCAGAAGCAAAGTGCACACTTGTTTTGGGTTCCCACTTAACTGGATTGCCAAACAAAGCTTAAGTCATAAGTTTACACATTCGGCAAGCTCAGCTTTATAATGCAGCTTAAAGCAAAACACAACGCAAACCCTCACAATAGCTGGGACAGAGCGTGAGAGTGAAAGACAGAGAGACACAAAGAGAGAGTGTGAGACAGAGAGAATGAGTGAGTGAGTGAGTGGTAGGCCTAGCGGTAGGACATGGAGCTTCAGCTTCAAACCGCAGCTGATTTAAGCAACACGTTTTGGATGGGGCCGACCGGGCCTGACACTCGCTTACATCATCAAGACACAAATGCACTCCCAAGTTCATCATGGATGTAATTGTTTTTAATAAGCATTCCCTGGTACAAGGCAGCTTGGTAAGCGTAAGAACTTCGCTCCAACATATGGTAGTTTCCCAAAATAAGGGCACCCCAATATAGACACCCAAATACTATAGTCCTGATTATGAGGACCCCCAAGACTGGTACCCGTAATTTTGGGAAACCCCTATATCCGCTGCTCCTGTGCAACTTAAGGCGAGAAAGGCCAAGGCAGGCCAGCTAAGGGAAGAGCGGACAACTATAGGGTCTAGGGGTTAAGGTTTAGGGTAATTTGTCCTGCCCATTTTGAACTATAGTCCCCCTTAAGTAAATGGAATATGGCTTTGGGTATATTATAATAAGATCCCCCTATACCTCATATTATCTCATATTCTATCTACTTAAGCGGGACTATACCCAGAACCAGAAGGCCACTGTTAAGAACTAGTTCTACTGATCCCGACCCCTGTATCATTGCATTGCAAGGCTCCTTCTGCACGATTGCCTCGCTCTGAGTGTCAAGAGCGCTTGTTGCCTGCGACAGGGGCTGGCATGGTATTACTGTGCTTGTAGTATATACTTGCGAGTCGCAAAATAGTCACTCTCAAAGGGTTCCCTTCTAGTTCATGTTGCTTCTCTGTTGTTCGGTTCGCAATCGCACGCTATGGCTTCCTTGCAGCTCATAGTTTCGGGTAGCACCGTCAAGTCAAACACGTCTTGGGCACAGGTCTTTCAAGCCTGGACCGGCTCTACTTCAAAACGGTTTGAATTGCGCTCATCCTTACGCCGCTGAGCATCTACGACTGCTAGGTAGGTTTTTTTGCAAAGCGCTCTCGTCATCCATGGAAATAACCACAGGGGGGTACAGGTTAGAACTTAGAACCTTGGTAAACATTAGGTGTCCCAACCTAGCTGCTACATTGAAAGTATGTAACCCACCAAGGAAACGCAAAGGAATCACGGTGGCTTCCCCAGATCAGATTCATACCAGAAACAGCCTCATCCAGCAGCATCACGGGCGGGTTGCGAATAAGAGCGCGGCAAATGGCCACCCGCTGCTTCTGACCGCCTGAGACTGAGACAAAGCTAATAAAGCTCACCAATGCAGTTGGCCATCGGGAGCGGGTGGACGACTTGCAAGTTTGGGACGCAAGGGGGAGGCATACTTCTTTTACTGAGGTTGCAGGTCGATCTCCCTTTCGTGCTTAGGCCTCGCTCGAAAACTTGAGGCCCGCCTGAAAGACGGCTGCCTCGAGGACCCACCTCAGCACTTCTCTGAGGGGTTTTATGTGGATGGTTTCTAAGTTACACAGATGCCTGTCATGCATGATATGTGGGAGTGTTTTGAGAAACCCCCACCTCAGTCTCCAGGCCCTTGTTGCCATTCTTGTACCTAAGCTGGCGGCTACGAACGAGGTTGTTCTCATGGCGGGTGAATAACGTTCAAAGTTCTAAGGCTTCGATAAAATGCCGCCTGCCCTGCTTCCGCATCCTACGTAACATCTCTTTGTCCAGCACCTGCCGCGCTGTGCGCATGGCGAAAGGACATATTTGGCGTGCTGTGACGTCACTGGCACTCTTCCATCTCCCTTCTACATGCTCGTCCCTGCGAAGGCTTCTCCCATGCTTAGGTAATTGCTGGGATGCAGAAAGCCCAAATTGCACATTCCTTCGCACTTCTTGACATAGTCCTCACTGACTGTCTCATCGTCAGACAAGCCGTACCTCATGAGAACCGCAGCTTTCCAGTGCAGATTGAGCGCAAATTGCATGTAAACTCCGTTCAGGAGAACTGTCAACGTGGCAAAAGAGCGAATGAAGCCAACTTGGATGTCAACTTCTCGAGGTGCTCAAATGAGTTACTGTATCAAACGAAAACTAAGCAAACGCCGAAAACACTGCAGTTTCTGGATGAAAGGTCGCTGAACACTTGCTAATCCTTGATGAAGCATGGCCGCAAAGGGCCCCTTTCAAGCTAGGAGTTTTCGCGGCACATGGCGCACAAGCTGGCCACTGCACAGGCTCATGCCTAGCCTCGAAGGCTCGAACTATGATTGTTGTGGTAAGAATGCTGATCCTCCAGGTCAATCGAAAACACAGCCCCTCAGTTATCATGACCGTGCCCCCGACCAATGTCCAAGCAGCTACTTCCTGCAAATCGCCTCATTGTTGCGTCCTGGCGGCATGATGTTGCTCCGCACGGTGGTGTTGAACAATACGGGTTCCTGACAGCTCATGCATATGCTGAACGGGGTCCCTAGGTTAGGTAGGCATATCCCGAAACACTAGCACACGCTTCTCAAAATGCTAAAAGAGACTATGGGGTATATCTGGTTATAACATGGGTTATAACTTGCGCATGCCCTACTAGGAGGCAGAAGCCCCCCCAAATACAAGATTTGCAAGCAGGCCTGCCAGATACTGCACAGTATACCATGCAAGTCAGGGCATTACATAGACAGTCACCAATATGGCTCAGGAACCTTTTATGACGTTATGCACTCACCAAAAAACCAGAAATATGTCCTACCTTATATTATCTCGCATGTAGACATAGCATAGAGATAGTGCCTGCCCAACGAAGCCAATCTGTCGACGCCACCAGCGAATGTTCACGGTACTCAACGCCATGCGCTCCTGGCTGGGGGCTCTGTGAAGAAGCAGGTCGGGATGAAAGTTTGAGTGCACTTCTATTCTCATGGATATTCCATATCTCTTCCACGCTTCTGATCAAATTCCCAAGCTCCGGAAGCCAAAGTTGCACTGGAATTCAGCTGCGCCTTGCCGATGAAGACACCTCCCTCTTGCGGGTCGTAGAAGCGCTGGATCAGAGACATCACCGTGCTCTTACCACCTTTGGGCTTAAAGAAATGCAACTCGCGGGGAAACTCAGCCACTCAAAAGGATGTAAGACAACCAAACGCGCACTCACACTGCATGACCCAAATCGATAGCTAACGCTTCTACTTGCCAAGACCCATCCCATTGTCCACTTCAAGAGCAGCAGCAGGTCAAGATGTCACACAGACCAATGTCAAGGGGATTTTGAACATTACATGACTTGAATCAACCCAACATTACATGACTTGAATCAACCCAAGATCTAAAAGACCCAGCCAACCGCTTTGTTTGCTTATCATTGCAAGCCTCCAGAAGGCCCCACCAAGCCCACAGACATGCCAGCGGAGATTTTGAAGCTAATGCCTTGAGGGGTGGAAAACTCCCAGGTTGAAGGGTGCTCAGATCTCTATGGAGCTTCATGCGGGGATAATCCCTATATTATATAACCCCTATAATCCCTGTAGTTTCCATTTTCTTTTCCATTATTCCAATATAAACCCCAATATTATACCCTATGTAACCCCTTATAGTTGCTTCCAGTTTCTTTTCCATTATCCCAATATAAGCCCCAATATTATACCCTATATAACCCCTTATAGTTGCTTCCATTTTCTTTTCCATTATCCCAATATAA